GAGGGGGCCGTGCCCTGGTTGCTGCCCCTCAGCAGGGTCGGTTTGGGGGCAGAGCTGGGGGTCTGCAGGAGCCCCTGGGGGTGCCCTGAGTGCTCGGCCAGCCCGCTGCTACCGTGGGGGGCTGGGGATGCCACCAGGGGTTTGGGGGGGACACAGCTCAGGGCTGGGCCTCGTGTGTGCCCTCAGGTGCCTTCGAGATCGAGATCAACGGGCAGCTCGTCTTCTCCAAGCTGGAGAACGGGGGCTTTCCCTACGAGAAGGACGTGAGTACCCACCCGGGGCTCCCGGGGTCAGCCAGGCTGGGCTGGGGGTGTTTGGTTTGCAGAGAGCCCCCCCTGGGATGGGCTCTGCCCACGGGGTCCCTGTTTTGTTGTTCCCCTTCCTGCTGCCCTGCCAGGACCTGCTGCAGGTCCTGCTGGGAGAGTGTGGCCGGGGTTTGTCCCTCCTGTCACTTGTGGGTGCTCCCAAGCCTGTGAGCCCTGCCCTGCTGTGTCTCCCCAGCTGATCGAGGCCATCCGCAGAGCCCGAAATGGGGAGCCCCTGGAGAAAATCACCAACAGCCGCCCCCCCTGCGTCATCCTGTAACCCCCCGGGGCCGGTGGGGTCCCCCCGCGCCGCCTTCCTTCAATCCCTGCACAACTGGGGGGCAGCTCCTGGGGACCCCCATCCTGGCACGGGGGGTCACTCTGTCCCCTGCTGACCTGCTGTGGGGTGTAGCCGTGGCCTGGGGGGGCTCTCCCACCTGCCTTTGCCTTCCCCCCTCATCAGCTGCACCTTGCTGGGGGGCACAAAGGGGTCCCCGTGGCACCCTCATCTCTCTGTGGTGGCCTCTCCCCTCCCTCACCCCCTTGGAATCTGGGGGTCTTCCATGAACGGGTAGCCACGCAGGAGCAGCTCCCAGCAGGTTCATTCCAAGGGGAATCCACTGGCTGTAACTTCCCTGGGATTTGTTAATGATTAAAGTCCCTCTGTCACTGTTTAATCCGGGGCAGGGGCCGGCCATGGGAACCCCAGCCCAGCCCCACGGCCACAGGAGTGTTCCCATTCCCCCCTCCCCATTCCCAGGCTCCCAGCTCCTGCTTCCTGCCTGGAATGACCCTGCCCTTGGCCCCCTATTTATTCTATACTGTGTATAAACCCAACGGCCTGGGTAGAATAAAGGATGGAGAACGTGGCTCCTCTGGTATCCCTCGGGAATGGGGGGGTGGATCCCGCCTGGAATCAGGAATTTTATCCTTCAGGGAAGGGTGACAGAGGGGAGGGGAAGGAAGGGGGGAAAGAGGGAGGAGTGGGAGAAGGAAAAGGAGAAAAGGAAGGGGGAAGAAGAAAGGAATGGAAAAACGGGAAAATGGAACAGAAAAAAGGAATGCAAGGAGGAAAAAGGGAAGGAAAAAGGGGGAAAAAAGAGAAAAGGGGAAAGGAAAAAGTGGAAAAAAGGGATAAGGGGAAAGGGAGGGGAAAAGTGAAAGGAATCAGGGGGGAAAAAAGAAAAGGGTAAAGGGAACAAGAGAAGGAAAAAAATGAGGAAAAAGGGAAGGGATATGACATGCTGGTCCTTGGGAGACAGCTGGATGTGACAGAAAAGAGACCAAACAGACCACGAGAGTAGAAAAAACAAGCAATGTACAATTATCAAATATACATCCCGGTGCTTCCAAAGAATCCCGGAGCAGCCAGGACTGCTCTCAGTCCAGCTGCCCTCAGTGCAAGTCCACGTGTCCCAGGCACTGGGACAGCCCTGGGGTGGGGGGCATGGCAGAGGGTCTGTCCTCCTCCGGGCCGTGCTGGGTCCGAGCTCCCTGGGCTGCTCCAGGCACCCCCCGGCGTGCAGGCCCCCAGTGCCACCACTGAGGGTGACCCCTGTGTCCCCGCTCAGCTGCCGCGCTGTCCCACAGCGTCCTGGGCTCTCCCAGCCCTCCGTGGCCGGTGCCACCCCCGGGCAGAGGGGATGGACCCCCAGCCCCGTAGCCATGGCTTGTCCTTCCCTGAGCTGCCTCGGTGAAGTTGGGGGGGGGTCTCTCCTATACGGCCGTGGCGTCGGGGTTGGTCAGGCCGAGGTACTCGGGGTTCTCGGCCGTGGGCGTCGTGCTGGGACCACCCTCGGGGCCCCCGGCCTTGGCGGGGTCCTGGTTCCAGTAGTAGGGGTTGTCGAAGGCCTGGCTGAAGGGGCCAGGGGTGGGGGGCCCGTGGGGTGCCAGGTACTCGGGGTTCTCCACGGCGTGGCCGAAGGGCCCTGGGAAGGAGTTCTTGGGGTCTTTGATGAGCCCATTCTTCCCCTGGTGCCCCCGGGGCTTGTCCGGCGGGGATGGGGGGCTGCAGGGGCTGCGGGGCGGACGTTCCCCAGCCTGGTTCACGTACTCTGCAGGGTGAGTGACATGTTAGGGACCCCCCCAGGGGTCATGGGACAGGCACACACCCCCACCACCTCCCCAAGGGTCCGGCTGTGCCCTCCCTACCTGGCATGGTGCTGTGGGGGGCCAGGACGGTGAAACCCTCGGGGTCCCCTCCATCCTTGGCCACCAGCTCGGTGGGATCCTCGCTATAGCGGGGCAGGGTCCCAGGCTCCTGCCCTGGGGGGCTCTGCAGGGCCACCTTGTCCCCGTCCGACACCTCTGGGATGGGCTCCTCCGGCTCCTCTGCCAGCTCCTGGGCAGGGAACGGGAAGGAGGCCAAGCCCTCGCCCTCTTCCACCTTGGCCGGAGACTCCGCTGTGCTCTGGGTGTGGGAGAGGACATGGAGTGGGGCACTTGAGCCCACCCTGAGAACCGCCCCAGCCCTTTGCACCTCGCAGACGTGGCACGGGGTCACCCCCACGCCTGTCCAGGACCAGGAGCTCCCTCCCAGCACTCCCCTCGTACCCGCAGGGAGGAGATGCGGCTGCGGTAGGTGGTGGAGGTGTCGGTGCTGAAGAAGCCGTGGTGAGGCACCAGGTACTCCTCGGCATCCACCAGATCATCCATGTCCTCCTCATCCAGCAGAGCGCGGTAGAAGGTGCTGTCCATGGAGCCGGGCAGCCCCACCAGGTCATTCTGGGAGGTCACAGTGGTCAGTGCTTGGCCCAGGGCACCGGCGAGGGGCGGGACCCTCGGGGACCTGCATACCTGGATGACCACGAAGCGCTGGGGGTCGCGGGCCATGCGGGAGAACTCGGTGACCAGCTCCCGGAACTTGGGCCGGCACTCGGAGTCAATCATCCAGCCTGGAGCAGAGGCGGGCAACATCAGGGCCGGGAGCAGGGTGACAGCACGCCCTGTCCCCTCCCTGTCCCCGTGTACCCTCCCCGTACATTTCACCATGATCATGTAGACGTCGATGGTGCAGATGGGCGGCTGCGGCAGCCGCTCGCCCTTCTCCAGCAGGTCCGGGATCTCCCGGGCAGGGATCCCGTCGTACGGCTTTGCCCCAAACGTCATCAGCTCCCACACGGTGACACCTGGAGGGGACAGGTGTGGGGGTGAGCAGTGCATTGGGACTCCCCAGACCCCCCGGGGTGGGGACACCCTGACGCACCATAACTCCAGACGTCGCTCTGGTGCGTGAAGCGGCGGCGGAGGATGGACTCCAGCGCCATCCACTTGATGGGGACCTGGGGCAGGGCAGATGGAGAGGTGAGCAGGACCAGGAGGTGGCTGTCACCACGGGGAACAAGCAGCACAGTCCCTGAGTCCCCAAGCCCTACCTTGCCACCATCAGCGTGGTACTCGGTCTCATCGATGTCGAGCAGCCTGGCCAGCCCAAAGTCGGTGATCTTGACGTGGTTGGGGCTCTTGACGAGGACGTTGCGAGCGGCCAAGTCCCGGTGCACCAGTCTCACCTCCTCCAGGTAACTCATCCCCTGGAGGTGGCACATGTCCAGCTGTCCCTGGTCTCCCCCGGGATCCCCCAGAGCTGCCCAGGTCCCCTGTCCTACCTTGGCAATCTGCACACACCAGTTGAGCAGGTCCTGGGAGCCGATGTGGTCCTTGTTCTCCCGCACATAGTCCAGGAGGCAGCCGTAGGGCATCAGCTGCGTCACCAGCTGCACCGTGGAGGTCAGGCAGATGCCCAGCAGTCGGGACACGTAGGGGCTGCCCACCCCTGCCATCACATAGGCCTCCTGTGGACAGGAGCAGGGTCAGGGTGGGCAGGGGACACCGCCAGCCCCATTCCTCCCCAGTGCCGTGGCCACACTCACGTCCAGGATCTCCTTGTTGGCTTTGGGTGATGTGTTCTCCCGCAGCACTTTGATGGCCACCGGGATCTTCACGCTCTCCCCATCGGGGATCCAGATGCCCTGAGGTGGGGACAAGCAGGTGAGGGTGTGCAGAGCAGGGAGGGTCACGGCCCGCTGTGCTGTCCCCAACCCTCACCTTATAAACGGTGCCAAAAGCACCGGAACCCAAAACTTTCACTTTCTTGAGCTCTGTCTCCTTGAGGATCCTCATCTGGGCTTGGTTTGGGAGGGCCCCACTGGGCGTCAGCGGCTCCACCAGCTGTGGGGCACGGAGGGGTGAGGGGGGGCCAGGCTCCTGATCCCTCCCAGGCACCGAGGGTCTGCTCCTGCCCCCCGGCAGATCCCCACCTCGGTCTCCTGCAGCAGCCGCCGCATGGTGTGCTTGCGCTCCTGCTGCCGCCGGCGCTTGACGCAGATGACGGTGATGAGGAGCAGGACGATGACCAGCAGAGCCCCCACCACACCAGCAATGATGGACGTCACCTGGCTGCGTGGCAAGAGGCCATCAGTGTGGGGGACCCCCAGCACCCAGAGTGGCGCTGGCACAACACAGCCGCACTCCTACCTTGGCTTCTGGTCCACAGGACATCCGTCCTCATCCCGGATCGTGCATCTGGGGACACAGGGTGTAGCCCCCTGCTGTCAGCGGCCCCCTGCAGCTGCCAGCACCCCCTTGGCCACCCCCTTGCCAGCTGGGGACCCCCAACTCACGAGTGGGTGCAGTTGGTGGGGCAGAGCTGGCACACGCCGAATTCATCCGGGTATTTCCAGACAGGCACGAAGGAGGCGTCGGCCTTGACGCCGCTGGGGCAGCGCCGCACGCACTGCTGGGCGTCCTTGTAGTGGGCACAGGCCACGCACTGGTCTGGATCCTGCAGGAATCGGGGTGGCTTGAGGGACCCAGGTGTCTGGGGGCGCCCCCCACCCCAGCCAGCGTATGTCCCTGTCCTCACCGATCCGAAGCAGGTCTCGGTGCCGTTCTGGGGCTGGCACTCGGGGTGGCATGGCAGGCACCGCGTCCCGTTGGCGTGTTCCCGGACGGCTCTGCGGGGCAAAGGGGCAGGAATGGGGTCCTGGCCCCACCCTGCAGTGTGTGTGGGGACTCTGTTTGCCACTCCCAAGGGTCGCTCACCCATCCAGGAGGTTGCAGGAGGCCACGCACTCCTGGCCGCGCAGGAACCGCTCACAGGCCACGCACTGGGTCGGGCCGGGGCCCCAGCAGTGCCCCTGGGCGCAGAGGTGGAAGCAAACCAGCCCCTCGCTCTCTGCAAGGGGGGTACCATCAGCACCAGGGGGTCTGTCAGCAATGGGGGGGTCACCGCCTCCCCCCACCCCTCCAGGCCCCACTTACCGCACTGCTCGGGGGGCTTGTTGTGGGTCTGGAAGAGGCGCTGGCGGGGGTTGCGGAAGATGCTGTGCCAGGGCACCTTCTGGAGGAAGCAGAGCTGGGGGTTGTGGTGCACGAGCA